GGTAGAGCTGCGGGGAGCAGGGCTGGCCTAGCAGGGGCTGCGGGTCGGGAGTGAGGGGCACTGGTAGAGCTGCGGGGAGCAGGGCTGGGCTAGCAGGGGCTGCGGGTCGGGAGTGAGGGGCACTGGTAGAGCTGCGGGGAGCAGGGCTGGGCTAGCAGGGGCTGTGGGTCAGGAGTGAGGGCCACCGGCAGAGCTGGGGGGAGTCCAGGGCTGGGCTAGCAGGGGCTGCGGGTCGGGAGTGAAGGACACCGGCAGAGCTGGGGGGAGCCCAGGGCTGGGATAGCAGGGGCTGCGGGTCGGGAGTGAGGGGCACCGACAGAGCTGGGGGGGAGGCGAGCCCAGGGCTGGGCTGGCAGGGGCTGCGGGTTGGTAGTGAGGGGCCCCAGCAGAAAACTGTAAGTGGGATGGGGAAAATGCCCTACAAAATGGTTCGAGGACACCGGCTGCACCCGTGGCCGGGGCGGCAGAAGGGCTGGGCCTGTTGGCAGCAAGAAAACGTCCTGCAAAGCAATGCAGAGCCCCAGGAGGCCGGGAAGGGCACCAGCGACCTCCCCACCAGCAGCCTGTGGAGACTCCCCGCCCCCCACGCACCTTCTCCAGGGAGCTGACAAATCGCACGCCCTCGTGCCCCTGGCGCCGGCTCGCGAGCCCATGGCACAGGAAGTCCCAGTAATCCCGCCGCTGCCCGAAGAAACTCCTCTTCTCCTTCAGGTCAAACTGAGCCAGGCAAAGAGACGGCAGCCGTGAGCCCAGGAGAGCGCGGGATCCCCAGCCTGCCCGCTGCAGCGGCTGCCCATCGCCAGGAGGGGTCAGTAGCGGGAAGGGGTCTGTTGCTTAGGCCTGTGGTTCCTGGCTGCTGGGATGGGGGGTGGGGGGTGGGAATTGGGGTTCTCCCAGGGCTCCCCCTACCAGTACAGGGCCACCACTGCCCATGCCCCTGGCTGGCGGTGCTCCTACCCCCCATGGAGGCCATCGTGGGAACATAAGAATGGCCAGACTGGCTCAGACCAATGGTCCATCTAGCCCAGGCTCCTGTCTTCCGACAGTGGCCAATGCCAGGTGCCCCAGAGGGAGTGAACAGAACAGGGCAGTTATTGAGTGAGCCCTTGCCGGCTCTGTGCCTCAGTTTCCCTGTGTCATGGGGCTCATGAAACTGGCCTGCCTCCGTCTGGCGATCAAAGCCAAGTGCTGTGTGTCATGGGGGCCAGCTCTGAAGTACAGCCGGTAGCCTCCAGCCATAGCGTGGCCCTAGTGGGGGAGGGGGTGCGTGGGGGGGCTGCATTCAACCGGTTCTCGGCCACTCCAGTGTCAGTAGCTACGGACCTCACTTGCCGGGACCCTCTGGGAGCCTCTGCAAAGAGATTCACAAAGGGCCTGCTCATGGGCGAGCCGAGGCCATGCAGGGTGCAGAGGGGCTGGGCCCACAAGCAGACCGGGTGGGGGGGGGGCAGTTTGCCTGACTGGGACAGCAGGGTCCTGGACTCCCTACCTGGAGCAGGAATTCCAGCTGGGCACAGAGCCCGTGAAGCTCCCGGCTGCCGTCAGTGACTGGCAACCTCCGCTCCTTGTAGTTCTGCTTGAGGTCCCCGACGGTGTCTGGAAGGGAACAGGGGAGCCATGAGCAGGCGATTCCCAGCCCACCCACCCGGGCTACACGCACATAGACACCACGGAGGCTGCGGGGACTGAACCCAGAACTTTCTGCTCTGCGGGAGCACCCCCCAGCCGCTGAGCCCCCCTGGGGCCAGATGCCGCGGAAGAAGATTTTACTGGGCCCCAAAAGCCCAGGCGAAAAGAGAAAGGTACAAACCCAGCATCCAGGCTTGGAGAGAAAGTGAAAGCAGCCGTATAAACAAGGGGAGGAGGGAAAGTTGATAGCAATGAAAGTAAATTAGAAGCTGGAGATGACACTAAACTGGGAGGCGTGGTAGATACACTGGAGGGAAGGGATAGGATACAGAGGGACCTAGACAAACTGGAGGATTGGGCCAAAAGAAATCTGATGAGGTTCAACAAGGACAAGTGCAGAGTCCTGCACTTACGACGGAAGAATCCCATGCACTGCTACAGACTAGGGACCGAATGGCTAGGCAGCAGTTCTGCAGAAAAGGACCTAGGGGTCACAGTGGACGAGAAGCTGGATATGAGTCAACAGTGTGCCCTTGTTGCCAAGAAGGCTAATGGCATTTTGGGCTGTATAAGTAGGGGCATTGCCAGCAGATCGAGGGACGTGATCATTCCCCTTTATTCGACACTGGTGAGGCCTCATCTGGAATACTGTGTCCAGTTTTGGGCCCCACACTACAAGAAGGATGTGGAAAAATTGGAGAGTCCAGCGGAGGGCAACAAAAATGATCAGGGGGCTGGAGCACATGAGTTATGAGGAGAGGCTGAGGTAACCGGGATTGTTTAGTCTGCAGAAGAGAAGAGTGAGTGGGGATTTGATAGCTGCTTTCAACTACCTGAAAGGGGGTTCCAAAGAGGATGGATCTAGACTGTTCTCAGTGGTACCTGATGACAGAACAAGGAGCAGTGGTCTCAAGTTGCAGTGGGGGAGGTCGAGGTTGGATATTAGGAAACACTTTTTCACTAGGAGGGTGGTGAATCACTGGAATGGGTTACTGTGACTTGAGGAAGTGGGAATGTTCTTGATGTGTTGTTTGAATGCTGAGTGGGGAGTATTAACCTGGGAAGGTTGCAGGGGAGTTTTGCTGGGGCTGCCTGCATTGGGGAAGGGAGCAGACCTGAGCATGTAACATGAGAACCCAGGAGCGGGGTTGGAGGCCAGGTAACACCTCTGCCCGGGAAACTGAACAAAGGACACAGAGGCTGGAGGAGGAGCCGGGGAAAGCGGAGAAAGGGCGGAAGGGAGTTTCAGTTTTTGGAGCTGGCTGGGAAATAAAGAGGGGTGCCCCAACCAACAGGGCTGTGGCTTCCCTGGGGCCCCCAGATGGACCTAACTAAAGGGGGGCCTGTTGTCTGTATTGGCAAGACCTGTTGTGGACTGAGTTCCTGTCATCGAAATAAACCTTCTATTTGACTGGCTGGCTGAGAGTCATGGTGAATCGCAGGAAGCCGGGGGTGCAGGGCCTGGTCTCCCCCACACTCAGTGACAGTTACCTACAGAGTTGGTGGAATCTCCTTCCTTAGAGGTTTTTAAGGCCTGGCTTGACAAAGCCCTGGCTGGGATGATTTAGTTGGTGTTGGTCCTGCTTTGAGCAGGGGGTTGGACTAGATACCTCCTGAGGTCCCTTTGTCACGGAGTCCCCGGGCGATGCTCTGGAACTGCTCCCCACAAAGCCAGTCAGGACTCTGGGGAGCCTCCTCTCCCTCGGAGCAGACTGTCTTCAGGGCAAGAAGCTCACATGGCTTCACCTTCCTAAAGACCTTGGAGCATTCAGCATATGCCCCTCCGTGCGCTTCCCACAGCAAGTCCGCCCAGGCGGGGTCCTGGGGAAGCCAGAGGGTCCTGCACCCCCACTTCGCAGTCAGACGTGACTCTCAGCCAGCCAGTAACACAGAGGTTTATTAGATGACAGGAACACGGTCTAAAACAGAGCTTGTAGGTACAGTGGCGAACGGGACCCCTCCATCGTGTCCATTCTGGGGTCCCGCGAGCCAGCCACCCCTGTCTGCCCTCACTCCCTGTCCCCAGCCAGCTCCAAACTGAAACCCCCTCCAGCCCCTCCTTTCTGGCCTTTGTCTCTTTCCCGGGCCAGGAGGTCACCTGACCCCTTTGTTCTCCCACACCTTTAGCATCCCCTTGCGGGGGGGAAGGGCCTGGCCATTAGTTGCCAGGAGACAGAGTGTCGGTCAGAAACTGAGGCCCCCCCACAGTATTCAGAGGAAACATTAAGAACAGTCCCACTTCCTCACAGCTTCCAACCCTGAGATTCTAAGATTCTGTGATCTGGTAAAACGAGCAAGTCGGCCATTTGTCAGTACTAGTGCGCGGTGACGCGTTTGTCTTTTTCGGTCAGATTTTGTCAGCAAGTTGGTTTGAAGTGAGATGAAACTTGGGGTACGCGAGACCAATCGGCCTCCTGAAAGGGGGCCAGCGGTCTGGAAAGGTTGGAGCCCCTGCGCGAGGGCAAGTGGAGTTAAGCCCATAAGAACGGCTCATGCAATCCCGCGTCCCCAGTTCGGGAAGGGTGGGGAGAACTGGAGAGGGGTCGGAGAAGAGCAGGAGAAGGAGGGAAGGTTAGGGAGAGTCACGGAGCAGGCTAAGGGGCGACTAGATCCCAGGCTGGATGTGCCGACGTGGGGAACCACTAGGAGAACGGGCTCCTCCGGCCAGCAGAGAAAGGCCTCGCCCAGCCCAGTGGCTGGAAGCCGGAGCAGGGCCCCCTCGAGTGGAAACAGGGCGAGGCTGTTACGGGAGAGTCATTAGCCGGTGGAACAATTTGCCCAGGGTGGGGCTGGACTCTCCGGCAGTGGAAATTCTGAACTCAGGCCTGGCTGTTCCCCTGGCCGAGCCGCTCTGTGTGATGGGGACGAGCTCCGGGACCGGCTCCGGGCTGTGCTCTACAGGGCCAGCCTGGGGGATCCCCTCGGCCTGGCCACTGCTGAGTGACTCCTTTCCTGTGCGAGTCACTCCTCCGTAGGAGAGCACCCCCCCACCCGTGGGTGTTAACCCTTTAAGCCATGGCTGGTACGAGGCTACACTGATTGTCTCTCTGCCAGGCACCCCTCTTGCAACCGACCCAGCCCCCCCCACTGAACACAGCTCCCTACCTGTCCAGTGACCCTGCCCCGGGCACCCCAATCCCTGCCAGTTCCAATCTGTACTCTCCCCCCCCCCGACAGGATGCCCTGACCCACCTCCCCTTCCCCCACCCCCACATGCTGGCCTGAAACATCTCCCCTTCCACCCCCCTCGCACGCTGGCCTGACCCATCTCCCCTCCCCCCCCCGCATGCTGGCCTGACCCAT